GCAGGCAAGAGATGTCAGAAGCAAAGGTGGCGGGGAAGGCCCCTTATAAAACCATCAGATTTCATGAGAACTAATTCACCATCAGGAGAACAGGATGGGGGAAACTGCCCCAGGATTCAACTGTCTCCACCTGGTCCCTCCCACAACAGTTGGGAATTATGGGAACTACAATTCAAGATAAGATTTGTGTGGGGACACAGCCAAACCACATCACTCCCTGAACACTTAAATCTGTGCCATTTAACACTTCTAAACACCTTATAAAGTAAGTACCATTTTAAATCCCATTTATATATAAAAATACTAAAATATAAATAACTGAGTAAACTCTTGTGGTCATACAGCTGGTAAGTAACCAAGACAAGTTTGAACCCAGTCTGGCTTCAGTGTTCACAAGTTTAACGATTATAATATATTGCCTTCTAAGAGGAGCACAATTCCTTTGCATTGTTCAAGAGATACCCACTGCCTCTGACAAAAATACATGGTATATACTCATCGGAAGATGGCTACATAGCCCGTTTGTATTCATCCAATGAGTTCAACTGTTATTTGTGGAAAACCTACTGTATTTTAGACACTGCACCAGGTGATTTTACAGTGACTATCTCATTCAATCCTAACAGCTTTGTCAAACAGATACTATCTTTATTTTACAGAGAAAACTGAGAGCTAGAACTTAAATGACTTTTCTGAGTTCACACAATTATTGAGAAATAGTACCGGGATTTAAGCTCAGGCCTCCTGATTCTAAGTCCTGTGCTCTCAGTAGGCTTATGAAAAGTCATTTTTTAAAAAGAATACAAGTCAGTAGTTGTTAGTGTATTTATGAAGTTGTTCAAGCATCACCACTATTTAATTCCAGGACATTACAAAAGACACCCTGCACCCTTTAGTAGCCACCTGCCTTTCCTCCCTCCCCCGTCCCCTGGCAACCAATATTCTAGTTTGTGTCTCTATGGATTTGCCTATTCTGGACATTTCATATAGGTGGCCTTTTACATCTGGCTTCTTTTACTTAGCATTTTGTTTCCAACGTTTATCTGTGTGGTAACATGTATCAATATTTCATTCCTGTTTATGGCTATTCCATTTTATGGACATACTACATTTGCTTATCTACTCATCAGTTGATGAACATCTGGATTGGTTTCCACTTTTTCATTATTAGCAATAATGCTACTATGAACATTCATGTGCAAGTTTTTGTGTGAACATATGCTTTCAGTTCTCTTGAGGATGTACCTAGGAGTGGAATTGCTGGATCATATGGTAACCGTTTAACTTTTGAGGAGCCGCCAAACTGTTTTCTAAAGAGGCTTACCATTTTACAGTCCCACGAGAAGTGAACGAAGGCTCAAATCTCTCTATCTTCTCCAGTACTCACTATTTTTCCTTTAAAATTATTATAATAGCCATCCCAGTGGGTATAAAGTGATTCCTCATTACGGTTTTCAGTTGCATTTCCCTACTAATGATGTTGACTATCCTCTCATATTTCATGTGCTTACTGGCCATTTGTATCCATTTTTGGAGCAATGTCTATTGAAATCTTTTGCTTTTTTTTTCCTCTGAGATGGAGTTTTGTTCCTGTTGCCCATGCTGGAGTGCAATGGCATGATCTCAGCTCACTGCAACTTCCACCCCCTGAGTTCAAGCAATTCTCCTGTCTCAGCCTCCCTAGTAGCTGGGACTACAGTCACACGCCCCTACACCTGGCTAATTTTGTATTTTTAGTAGAGACAGGGTTTCACCATGTTGGCCAGGATAATCTCGAACTCCTGACCTCAGGTGATCTGCCCTCGGCCTCCCAAAGTGCTAGGATTACAGATGTGAGCCACCATGCCCAGCCTAAATTACTTATTTTTAATTTAGTTTCTTGTGCTTTTGATGTCAAACCTAAGAAATCACTGCCTAATTTAAAGTCATGAAGATATACATGTAAGTATCATTTTAAAACTGGGCTTTCAAAGACTTTCTCTTCTCCCATGAGGGAAGAGATGCATAATCACAAAGTTCCCTTTATGGCTTTAAGTGAGCTTAAGTCTCTATTTGGTGTTGTAAAATTGGGCTTATTTTTACTAGGGGACAGGAACATTACATTTAGATAAATAATTAAACATTTTCTTCTAAATTAAAATTATTTATGTAAAGTGCTTATTACAGGACCTTAAACACATTCTGGCTATTATTATCCTAATCATTATAACCATGCTAAGATTTTAAATCAATATTCTGCATAAAATAATAAATAGAAAATAATGAAAGTTTGGCACTCATGATAAAGGAAACACATTCAAAAAAGAGACATGTTAGCATGTGATAGCTGAGGTGAGACAGCTTTTCTAAGCGCACTATTTTTGGTCAACCTAAGGGATAGCATTTGTACCTCTAACCAACAGTTATGTCCCCTAAAATTTGGGGATAGAAACCTTCATTTCATACCTGTTTCCAACTTCTTAATTATGTAAACACACATTTAAGGTTTTATGGGATGGTTCACCTATTGTTTGACCATTGTATCTTGACTTTTGGTTCAGATTAACTTTTCACAGAACTTACAGTTGGGGATTCCAGGGCCACATGCCCACTCTTGCTGCACCAGAATCCATGGGGTAGCCTCCAGAGAGAATTTTAAGTGTGCAGTAAATTTCAAGTGTACAAATAGTGCAACTCAATTACAGGGGGCACCATTTGACTCAAAGCGATTGTAGATTCATAGGGCTTTATAATTCTCCAGCAAATTAGCAGACAAGTGTCTTAGAGAAGGAGAACCTTTTCCTAATTTTCTATAAATTCACCAAAGGGGTAGCAGTGGGGCAGTGCATGGAGAGTCCCACAACTTCCATGTAGTTGAAGGTAGTGTGTCCTTATCTTTGGCAGTATATTCATCAAATCTTCAAGTTCTGGGGGACCAATTTGGGGGATCCTGGGTTATTGTGGGTAGCTGTGGTCTCTATGGTATCTGCTCATTTTGTCAATGTGGCCATGATAATATCCATATATTGTACTTAAGTAGACATCAATAGCCTATAGAACCCCTGATCTTTGTGTGTTTGATGCTATTACTAACAGTAATAATAGTAATAGTTGATGCTACTATTATTATAATAGCATACTATTAATAATAGTAATAGCATCAATGGTTGTTATGAGTAACAATGATTTAAAACACACTGACTCCCCAATAGAAAAAGACAAAATCAGAATTCACAGAAATTCAAATGACCATTAAACAGAAAAAGTTCAATTTTACTAGTAATAGAATACATTTAAAACTAAAAGTGAGGCATATTTTCATTTATTAGACTGATCAAAATGAGTGCTGGCAAAGGTGGAAAGAGATGGTATTCATATGTTGGTGATGGAAGGGGAAATTGGTACATCTTTTTTGGAGGCAGTCAAAATGTCAAATGTATATTCCCTTTGATTCAGACATTCCGCTTCTGGGAAGTTATTTAGTTGAGAGAAGAAATACATAGGTAGGCAAAGCTTTGGATACAGGCATGTTTGTATTGGCAGCACTGTAATATTAGAAATGATCTATTTCTCCAACTACAGATTGAATAAATTCAAAATAGGATAGTGATTCATTCTTTTAAAAATTATATATACATACGTATGTGTGTGTATACATAACCCTAACACACACACACACACACGAGAAAGACAAAATAGACAAAATAGTGTGCAGTGATTATCTCTGGGATGTACGAATGGGAGGAAAAAAGATTTTGACTTTTTGCTTTATGTATTATTGTAGTATTTGGTCTTTTTTTAATCACTGGTATCACTTACTTAATTTTTTAAAAAGTAAACCTAGGGAATTTATGGTTCACTTCTGGACTGGAAACTAGCCAGCAATATACTCCAACTGAGTACTAACTGTATACTGAAAATATTTTTGTAAAGTGCTCACTGGATACTAGATATTTTTCTTCGAGGTAAAGCAGTTTTTAGCATGTCCAAAACTCATGAATTAAGGTATGTTTCATACTCAGAAACCAAGTAAACTATGAACAAGATTATTCTGTATATAATACGGTTGATATATGCAGTCAACTAATGACAGACTTGGGACAAGGAGACAAGTTTAAGTTCTTAGCCCCAAAATATAATCTGGAGGAGGAACTTTGTTGATAAGCACAACATAAAAGCACCTAAGGCCCAAAGGAACAACAGCGTCTTGCTAGGAGTCCCTGAGCAGCACAGGCACTACTTGCCATCTTAAAAGATTCAAGTCTTCATTTAAGCCGAATGCCCATAATTCAGCTTTCCTGGGGTGCTCATGCAGTTACCAAACTTCTCAGGTTGCAAACAACAACAAAAAATAACACGTATAAAATAACTCCTCTGTTCCTGGCACTGCTATGTCCTTTCATAGACATAAAGACACTGTTTAAAATTCAAAAGACTCCAGCCTGGATTTTCTCCTTCCAGTAAGTCAAATACACTCCACATCTCCATTTCTTATCCTAGAAAGGAGCTCTAATATACCCGTGCCAACTCCATTCTCAAACTGATGCAAGGCTGAAACATGCTCATGTTGGGTAAAGCACTTTCAAAGCTGTGAAGTCCTCAACTGAATGCGAAGGATTTTATACAAATGTGACTTAGTATTTATGATTTTGAAAGTGGGAGATTTTCAAAGTTGAGCCTCAGTTTATGTTTTTTTTTTTTTTTTACTAGCTTTGATTTAGCAGAACTATATCCTATTTATAAGGATTTTAAAAAATTAGTGCTTTATGAAGTTTTATTATACAGTAATCATTGCTGGCCACTTCTGGTATAAAGTGAATTAGATGTAATTCTTCTACAGTAGCATTCATAGATGATTTTATTAAAGTAGTAACAACGTTAAAGGCCAGAAAATTAAGAAACAATCTTATTTGACTTATTGGAGATACCGCTATGGCAAGGTCCATCAAAATTCTTTATATCTTCTGCAACAATAAAATGAAACACTCCCAAAATGCAGTAAAGATACTAAGAGTCAGGTATTTTGCAGACAAGTAAACCTTTTATTTTAAACCACAAATAGTCAGCAGGTGGCCACAACTATCCATGTTTCATTAAAATCACATAAAACCTAGGTACAAAAGCACCACTGATTATTGCTCTAGAAAAACTGCATGAAAAATTCAAATATGCACAGTAAAAACACCACAGTATGCACAGGACTAAATTTTAAAGCAAGTGCATGGAATGCTGAATCAATCTTACACACAGCTTTCCAATATTTAACTGATATTTATTTTACTTGAGGATGATGTAAATTTCCAAAAAGCATGACTATGAGACGATAAAATGTCCATCCTTATATATTTTTGTATGCCAACTAGTAGAGTCCTAAAAAATTAGCATTTACAAAATACTTGGTAAAAATAGCTTTTAAAAGTTGTCCCAAGAGATACATAAAATCAACCCCAATTTTTCATGACAATTCATTCTCCCTCGTTATCTACAGATTCAGTTTTCTGTGCCTGTGAAAAAGAAAGGAAAAAAAATATAGTTACTACTAAAACTACTATAAGCAAAGGAAATTCCACACACAAACACACAGTTTTGAACATTTGTTTTCTTTTTTTCTTCCAGCTTTACTGCAAAACCTATTTCAACTCTGAGTGAAGAAGAGACAAAGCAGAAATACATTACACAAACACTTTCTTGCATTTATTGCTTTCTGCTTTTCAAACAACCACAGAAGCCTTACCTGCAAGCTCCCACTCTTCATGATAATTTAAAAAAAAACAAAAAACAAAAAACCACCACACTACTATCTGATTCTAGTCACTGCAAACATGCAGAATTTTCTACTGTACCCTTAACTCTCACTGTTTCAATCTGCCCCTTTACTGACAGTGTGCTGGGTGGGGTGCCTCTGGAGGTTGAGACATTAACAGTTGAGCGAGAGATGTGGATCTGCAATAACATTACAGGCAATAAAAAGAGACATTAAGAACGTGCTATCACCGGCTGAAGGATTGAGAAATTTCTTTAAAGACACTGATTCAATCAGTGGGAGGTATTTATGAAAAGTACCTCTTCAGCTTTAGTTTCACCATTTTCAGATGGTGCAGTACCTTCCTTTCCAGCTTCCTGCTTTTCCTCCTTCTTCCCTTTAGCACCTCTGCTAATCTTTGCTCCAGGTTCTTTCTAACAGGGGATCAAAGCAGAGGGAAAGAGAATGTTAGACATGGTGTGATGATGGCCAAAATCAATCGGCCTCTGTCCAAACACAAGGTGAAGTACAACCATCACCATCATGGTGGCCTTTATGGAGACACGGGAGCCCAATTTTGCTGGGTTTCAGCTGAGTTGCACTGCACAAATATGAGTCTCTGTGAAAATGTAATAACAGGTTGCACAGAAAGTCCAGTGTACTTTCTCTTCTGTGGAAAACACAATGATTCCTCTCCTGGATTTGTTCAGTGGACCTCCCCTCCAGTAAGGGGAGAAGTGGTTCTGCCATGGAGACAGCAGCAGCAGGACTTGGGGAAGGAGGAGGCAGAGCTGGGGGAGAACCCAGCCAGGGGGTGGCTCTGCTGCTGCTTTCCAATGAAACCCCTCACGTGGAGACACATGGCTTGCATGACTAGAAAGCTGGGAAGGTGCCAGGAAATGCAGCCCAGATGAAGCAAAGTTCCTAATTTTAAGACCAAACAACAAAAGTGAGTTCTGTTTCTGAAATCACCTACTCACACCACTATACACGTAAGTTTCAAACAATTTACATGGGACAATACCGAAGGGTAGAGAGCAGAAAAGCCACTTTGGGTAAGTTCCCTAAGAATTCTGTATTTCAGTTTCCTCATCTGCAAAACAGGATATTTGTATCTACTTCAATAGAGTTTATGTGAAGGTCGTATGAGTAAAGCAATCAACCATATTTGCCATACTCTAAGGGCCTTATAAATGCTAGTATTACCTGCTGGCATTATTATATTGTTATTATTAGACCTCAGACTGGCTGGCAAAATCCAGTTAGATGAAGTCAGAAGCCCCTTCCCAAATTCCTCCCATAGTGAGGCAGTGCTGCCAGGGCCCAAACTCACCCCCGCTGCGCGCCATGTGAACCGCATGTTCACGAGGCTGCTGCTGCCAAACCCCCTTTGGACACGAGGCTTCTCAGAGCAACATCTCTGACTTCCTGTGCCTCACTGACCAAATGGAAAACACACTCCTATTAAGGCAGAAAACTGTGCTTTATGCCTTTAAGAAAGTCCATAACAGTGGTAACGGTTTTAGCTTGGATCATTAAATATGGCCTTTCCTTGAATGATTCTGAGGTAGGGAATTATAATTTGTTCATTGTTTAAAAAGCCAAAAGTGGGAAACAGCACTTCTTACCTTAGCAGATGTTTTTCTTGGTTTGGGTTCAGGTTTTGGTGGAGCAGGTTTCTGCAAAGATAATTTAAATTACACAAATACTGAAAAAGACAACTGTCAGCACCAAAAGAAACGCAAAAAGACTAACAAAGACAACTATCCATTTTGACAAGGCCTTGGTCATTAAAAAGTATTTCATCCTATTTTCAGCACCAGGTAACAGCATAAAGATCTCTGCATTTCATAACTATTTTCACCCTGGGTTCACAAGGGAACTGCAGGTGAGATCGAAAAGCTGACTCCTCATTCCCTGGTCCAGAATAGCTCTCCGGGAACAGGGCTAAGCTTCTATCTCCTACGTGTCTGTTCTTCCTTTTATCACAGCACAGCAGCAAGAGGGATGACTCAGGCCCGTGGCCAAAGGACTCAGTGAATTCAGTTGCACTGGCCTTCCTAACAATCTAGAAATCACAGCACAATCACTAGCAAAGCCCAGCTGGTAATGAAGACTGCTGCCTGTGAAGTATTTCAAAATCACTTCCAAATCCTTCCACTTCTGATGTAGATTTCGAGTTTCCGTTGCCAAGCTTCTTCCTACTTTTATTCTCTCCAATGCCAGCTCAAGGTGAGAATCTTTTGCCTAACCAGATATGCTGGGCTCATTTGTCCCTAGAGGTTTTCATTGAGAACATAATTATAATGATAAAATGTCTACTGTTAGCTCCCAAAGTTTAAAATTTTTCACAGATATTATTAGCCAAAGAGTCCCCTAGGAAACTATTTTTTCCTGCCTCATGTGGTCCTCCCTCCAGTTCCCATGAGCAGCACTCACACACCGTGTGACCACGGTCCCTCTGCCATACAATGCTTCAGCTCTGGCCAGCTTCCCAGGGGCCTGAGACCAGGTGGCACATGCGGATAACTGGGGAAAGATAACCATTTGACTCCAGGAGTTTTCTGTAGATACTTTAGGGCAAATATTTCTCTCATAGAACTAGAAAAAAGTGTACATCTCTCCCAGCACTAGAATGGTTTTAAAATAGAAAACACTGGCCAGGGTCTCCCCCTATGGAGAAAAATACATGTTCCTCCCTACTGCCTCTAGGTAATTCAGGTTCACACTGAATCTGCCCCTTTTCATCAAGTGCATAAAGGGAAATTGTAGGCAGTTCGATTTCAGAAGATTGGCTGTTAGAAATGACCTTTCAAATAAAAAAGAAAATTGAGCTTGAAAAGTAAGAGATGTTTTTATTAATCTTCTTATCACCCTAAATCTGCAGCCCAAATATAGCAGCTTTCATGGTTCTTACATTTTCAGAATTTAAAACATTTTGTCATCCTAAGCTTTGATATACTGTATTAATATACATGTTTTCTCCATTTACAGTAAACAATTTCCTTTTATATTATTTTCTGTAGGGCAGACCTTTCCCTCTGACCCAGCATTCAAGTGTTTTGATGGGACCAGGAAATGAGGTTATGAAGTCCGTAATCCTGCTGGCCTCTGAGGAGGCTCTGTTTCCGTAGCACACGGAATGATCTCAGTGGAAGGTGCTTATATTGCTGGTTTCTGGTGCTCAGGAAAAGCTTCGTTTTAAATTTTGGTTTTCATTTGACTTACAAGGTGTGTTCCCTTAACTGCCTGGAGATTCACAACAGCAACCCCAGCTCTTAAGTCCTCCTAGTGACTGACACGTCTTCTTGATATGGTTTGGCTGTGTCCCCACTCAAATCTCATCTTGAACTGTAACTCCTACAATTCCCATGTGTCGTGCGAGGAACCCGGTGGGAGGTGATTGAATTACAGGGGTGGGTCTTTCCTGTGCGGTTCTTATGATTAGTGAATGAGTCTCATGAGATCTGATGGTTTTAGTAACAGGAGTTTCCCTGCACAAGCTCTGTCTCTCTTCGCCTGCCACCATCCACGTAAGACATTACTTGCTCCTTTTGCCTTTCTCCATGATCGTGAGCCTTCCCCAGCCACATGGAACTGTAAGTCCAATAAAACCTCTTTCTTTTATAAATTGTCCAGTCTTGGTTATGTCTTTATCAACAGTGTGAAAATGGACTAATACAGTAAATTGGTACCAGAAGAGTGGGGCGCTGCTGAAAGATAACTGAAAATGTGAAAGTGACTTTAGATCTGGGTAACAGACAGAGGTTGGAACAGTGTGGAGGGCTCAGAAGAAGACAAGAAAATGTGGGAAAGTTTGGAACTCTCTAGAGACTTGCTGAACGGCTTTGACCCTTACTAAAGACTTGTTGAATGGCTTTAACCAAAATGCTTATAATGATATTGGCAATGAAATCCAGGCCGAGGTGGTCTCAGATGGAGATGAGGAACTTGTTGGGAACTGGAGCAAAGGTGACTTGTTATGTTTTAGCAAAGAGACTGGCAACATTTTGCCCCTGCTCTAGAGATCCATGGAACTTTGAACTTGAGAAAGATGATTTAGGGTATCTGGTGGAAAAAATTTCAAAGCAGCAAAGCATTCAAGAGGTGACCTGGGTGCTGTTAAAGGCATTCAGTTTTAAAAGAGACACAGAGCAGAAAAGTTTGGAAAATTTGCAGCCTGGCAATGTGACGGAAAAGAAAATCCTATTTTCTGAGCTGAGGAGAAATTCAAGCCGGCTGAAGAAATTTGCATAAGTAATGAGGAGCCAAATACTATGCACAATACAATGGGAAAAATGTCTCCAGGGCATGTGAGAGAGCTTTGCAGCAGCCTCTCCCATTACAGGCTCAGAGGTTTAGGAGGACAAATGGTTTTGTGGGCCTGACCCAGGGTCCCAGGGTTCCTCTGCTGTGTGCAGTCTAGGGACTTGGTGCCCTGTCTCCCAGCCGCTCCAGCTGTGACTAAAAGGGGCTAAGGTACAGGGGCTGTTGCTTCAGTGGGTGGAAGTCCCAAGCCTTGGCAGCTTCCGTGTGGTGCTGAGCCTGCGAGTGCGCAGAAGTTAAGAATTGAGGTTTGGGAACCTCTGCCTAGATTTCACATGTATGGAAACACCTGGATGCCCAGGCAGACGTTGTTGCAGGGGCAGGGTCCTCATGGATAACCTCTGTTAGGGCAGTGCAGAAGGGAAATGTGGGGTTGGAGCCCTCACACAGAGTCCCTACTGGGAAACTGCCTAGTGGAGCTGTGAGAAGAGGGCCACTGCCCTCCAGACCCCAGAATGGTAGATCCACTGGCAGTTTTCACTGTGTGCCTGGAAAAGCCACAGTCACTCAATGCCAGCCTGTGAAAGCAGCCAGGAGGGAAGACGTATCCTGAAAAGCCATGGGGGCGGAGTTACCCAAGACCATGGAAACCCATGTCCTGCATCTGCGTGACCTGGATGCAAGAAAAGGAGTCATAGGAGATCATTTTGGAGCTTTAAGATATGACTGCCCTGCTGGATTTCAGACTTGCACGGGGTCTGTAGCCCCTGTGTTTTGACCAATTTCTCCCATTTGGAAGGGTGGTATTTACCCAATATCTGTATCCCCATTTCACCCTAGAAGTAACTAACTTGCTTTTGATTTTACAGGCTCACAGGCAGAAGGGACTTGTCTTGTCTCGAATGAGACTTTGGACTTTTGAGTGAATGCTGAAATGAGTTAAGATTTGGGGGACTGTTGGGAAGGCATGTTTGGTTTTGAAATATGAGGACATGAGATTTGGGAGGGGCTGGGGGCAGAATGATATGGTTTGGCTATGTCCCCACTCAAATGTCATCTTGAATTGTAACTCCCACAATTCCCATGTGTCTTAGGAGGAACCTGGTGGGAGGTGATTGAATTATGGGGCAGGTCTTTCCTGCACTGTTCTCATGAAAGTGAATGAGTCTCATGAGATCTGATGGTTTTTAAAATGGGAGTTTCCCTGCACAAGCTCTCTCTCTCTCTGCCTGCTGCCATCCACGTAAGATGTGACTTGCTCCTCATCTTCCACCATGATTGTGAGGCTTCCCCAGCCACATGGAACTGTAAGTCCAATTAAACTTCCTTCTTTTGTAAAATGCCCAGTCTTGAGTATGTCTTTATCAGCAGTGTGAAAACAGACTAATACACTTCCTTATGAGACTCACGTGAAACACTGGCTCGCCTGATCCAAACAGCTGTATTTCCGAACTTGTGAGTGGTCCTAATACCTATTTTTGCTTTGATTCCCTATATTGTACCAGACACAGATTTGGGTTGAGAATGAAATCCATGCTTTCCTGAAGACCAAAGTAGCATGAAGCTTCTGTAATAGCTAGTATGAGGATATACTAATATAGTGTCAGTCAAAATACCAGTGCGTTTCCCCCTACCTTCTTAGTGGAAAGCCTGGGCTGCAGGAATTTTAAACAAAATCCTCCGCTGGAGTCCAGCTAATCTCTTAGCAGGGCAGCGAAAGAGAAGAGCATAAGAGCCAGTAGGGAGCACAGGCTGATGAGGAAGAGCTGGAGGATGTCCACCTTGGAGGTTCAGCCACATCTGCCCATCTCAGCTTGTATCCTAACCCCACAAGAATTTACTGGCTCACAGAAGGAGACTCCAAATAGCGAAGTAGAATTATTACTGTTACAAAGATTCTTAAGGTCTGAAAGGAGGCTACAGTATATGGATTCAGACAACTTTCAGAACATTCTCATATAAACATTCTAAAGTATGAGTTGTGGACAGAGAATCAGAATTCTGTCCACTTCAGCGCATCACAGGTAGAATCTGAAGACTGGAACTTTGCCTAATATACTACTTTTGTGTCAGAGATATAGCAATGTCAAACAACATCCTGCTTTATATCCTTCGTAATGGGGCTGGCCACTGTCTGACACATTTGATCAAGTCAATTGCTTGGTAACACTGGTCAAATTTGCTAGATGTAAGGACCCTAGGTAATTTTCAAAAAGAAAATAAACTCATGGGAAACCATCTTAATCTTCCTTTTGCTGCTTCACTTTGGACAAAAGGACCATGTACTCATAAGAACTAACGCTGAAGTGGTTCTAAGGTACTTACCGCCGACAATCTGGCAGACCGTCTTGTGGGCTACAAAGGGAATGGAAAATATACATATTTTTTGGTGATTATACAAAACGAAGTTGATTTTTAAAAATCTATCCTTAATATACCTTACTTTGTTGAATGACTATAATGTATGATTCCCATCACCTTCTCCAGGTAAGCACAATGAAACATATCCCAAGTCCCCTGGGCACCATGACACTCAAGAGGAAGTATTTCTAAAAAGGGGTAGGTACACTGTTCAAATAAACAGCTACTCCCAACTCAGGGTGTGGTGAATAAGTAAGGGAAATGAAGATCAATTTAGGCTTTATCCCGAATTAAAACCTCTACTTTTATGACAAAATCAACAGCAAGAACATTGAGGTGCTATTTAAGAGCTAGTCTTCAGTCTGACTCCAGCTCCTTAAAAATGGAACTAAAGCTTTTAAGTTAATACAAGAAGAGACTTATGCAATTGTGTAGAAACCAAAATAGCAGGAGTTCCCCATCTTGCTGCTATGTTAGAAATGAAAATGATTACAAATCTTGGCAGTTAACTAGAAAGCCTTCTTTTTACCGATAACAAAACAAACACATTTATCTAGTAGTATACGTTCAAAGGATTTAACTAGAATTAAAAGTGCATTAATTTTTTCTTTTAATTTCAAAGTTTAGAAAATGTACAGAGAAATTGTGTAGAGATTGATATTTTGGGGAAATCTTTTTTTCTTCAAGGATATTACAAGTTAACAGCAAATGACCCTGCAAAGAAAATCTAAATTGAAAGAACTGTCCTAGGCATTTCAGCAATAACACACAAAATTGATATTCTACTTACCATCCAACCTACAGTGGCTCCCCAAGGGATTTCACGTTGTAAAAGTATAACTGCCTTTTTAAAAAAGTGCTCCAGAAATAAACACTCCATACTTTTTGTCTGGTTAATTCACTGCTCCATCTCCAGTACAATAGTGTACTGGCCAACATACAGTATAAACTCAGTATTTGCTGAATAAATGAATCCACGCCTTTCCCTAGTTCTCACTTCCTCATGCAGAATTTGCCTCAGTATAATAGCTTAAATGTTTCAAATAATTTTTCCTAAGGGGGACAGCAAAAATGGTCAGTAGGAACCCATGCCATAATTATGAGGAATCATGGAATTCTTGAAGTGGGGCTAAGGTCAGTCTAGGTCAGCCAGTCAGGCCAAACTGGAAGAAATACTTCTTGCCATCTCCACATCTAAGAACTTTCTTGCTGAAAATAGCCAGAGAAGCTAAACTCATCTTTCTTTAAACTACAGAAGGAAATGAAGGGCCAGAGCCTCCATGAATACTTTTAACCCTGGGGTCTCAAGGAAAAATCAGAGCTGGACTTAAGGCCAGCTACGAGAATGTGCTGAGAATGAGAGGCTGTGCAGGTTAAGTGGTTGGGTGGGATACACTCACTGCACAGAGTAAAAGCATGTAAGCTCAGCACATAGCCCTGTGAATTAGTACAGGAGGAGTGTGTGTCAGATTCTCCATAGGAACTACGGTGCCTGCTATAGTTCTCAAGGGTGTATTCCTGACAGTGCACCCACAGGTCCCTGGGAACCAGAATCCAAATCCTGCAATACTTTTCCCAGGATGGTTAACTCTATTGAGTATACTGAAGAAAAGGCAACATTTGCAAGTAAACTGGGCAACAAAAGGGTATCTTGTGTTTTTTTAATGTACTTTCTGAGCATAGAGGAGAAAAGAGCACCTTCCAATTACCCAACAGAGCTCAGCTCTGAAGCTTCAGTGTGGCCCCAAGGACAACCCATGTCTGACAAACTACAGCAGGCAGAACAACACCTTCCAAGATGAAAGTGGCAGTCTCCCTGCTAAAGAGAGGTCAAAGAACCTTATCTGACTCCCTCTCCACTTGATGTCAACTCATGTGCACCACTTTGGTCTTGCCTCACATTCACTTCATCTGACTCATGTCTCCATCCCCTCTTGCACAGGACCACCTTCTCTTGTATTTCTGTGGTTCCAATATGTAGCAGGGGCCCTCAATAAGTGTTGAGATGAACAGAAGGGGTAAGCACCAGAAACATACAGCAACTGTGAACTTGTGGGGAGGGGAAGAAGTCCTAGAGCCACTACTCAGTTACTCTTTAGTTTAGGGCCTGAAAAGGGGCCAAACATGTTAGCCATAACTCAAAACTGCCTCCCTATCTGCCATCTAGTTGTCTTGAATAAAATCTCCATGAAGTGAGGCAAAATCATGAGAAAAGCTCCCCAACTGTGACACTGTTGTTCCTCTCCATGTGAACACCTGAACATGCTGAATAGACTAAGTGATGCCAGAGAGCTCTTTGGGATTTCCAGAGACATTCCAATCTAAGCACTGCTTTGCAGAGCCTAACAGTTGTTCTGATCCAAAGGACTTAATACCTTTTAAAAATTCAGGTCCAGTATAGGAGTTCCAAAATAAAAAGCCTAGGAAATTAATGAGGGGGAAAAAACAAAAGCAAAAAAAAAGCCTAAGCTGTAGCCAGTCCCTAAAAATCCTATCTTTTATTATAAAATCAATTTATGACTTGCTACCTAAAATTTCCCAGCTCTTCTTTCTATGCCATTAAAAAAGACCTTTCTTACATTTTCTTTTCCAGTAGCCATCATAAGACATTTTCATTTTCACTGCAAACAGTGGAGGCTGAGATGAACGTTTCACTCACAGTCAGCAGTACTGATTATGCATGCAAGTATGGACACCTTCCTGGAAAGTTCCATCAACTTTCACAGCCTTAAAATCTATAAACTATGGGACTATATTTATTGGATATGAAATAGATGAGACTGCTATTTTTTCCCTGTTAAAACACTAACATGTGAAGTACTCATTTGAGACTCAGATTGGGTGGGACTGCTAAGGAAAAAAAAAAGATATTAAGAATTTCTCTCTCTTTTTTTTTTTTTATTGTGAATCCTCAGGAAAAGTGGTCCAGAGACTGCTCCTCAGCACTTCTCTGACATTCACTATTCCCCTTCCTTGCTTTGTTTTTCTTAATTGCCAATATCCAATTATTTTACTACCTCTCAGGGAGGGAAGGAGGGCTTTTAGAATGAAAAATCATCATTGATAAATATGACAAACAGATATGACAAATGTGAGGGTTTGTCACTACGGTATATAGGTGCTGGTCACAATGGAATTATCCCATAGGCATCATCCCATAGGCATGATAATCCTTTAGGTTGGGGAAAATTCTGGTGAAGCCTACTCTGAAAGACATGAAATCTTCTACTTTAATATCCTGGTTGCAAAAGCAACATAGAAGTCTAATCTCCCAATGACAAAGTACACGGGGATAGCTACATTCAATAGAATTACTGTACTTTGCTGGATACTGCTTGAAACACACGGACCATTCCTTTGGAATGTGGGAGTATTTTTATTTTTAAGAGATTTTTTTGCTCCTGAGCCTGACCATGTACTTCCAAGCAAAACCCAAAAGTCAAGTTGCTTCTATTAAAAATACTACACTTTTCATTGTTATTTTAGCCTGGTATCCTTCTACTTATCAAAAAAAAAAAAAAAAAAAAAAAAAAACTTAAAAAGAAATTGCCTTCTTTTCAAAACTGGGAAGTAGAAAAGTTTGTACCTCAGAGCCTTGGCTGGGAATAGACAAGACAGAAAAATGGATACTGGATTACCAGATTTTTAGGACTGCCATAAAAGGGCCATAGGGATAGCGGATTTTGGAGCAGGAGATGCAGATATCTATCCTGGTTCTGCTATTTACAAGTTCTAATACCCAGGGAAAATCATGTTTCTCTGAGAACTTTGCTCTAGTTAAAATAGGGATAACATCTGCCAATCTGTCCTCCAAAATAGCACTTCTCTGACATTCACTATTCGCCTTCCTTGCTTTGTTTATCTTCATAGTTAATATTCAATCATTTTATTTTACTCTCTCTCCCACTAAAAGGAAGTGCCATGAAAGCAGGGATTTTTGCTTGTTTTGTTCACTGTGGGATCTGGAGAGCTTAGAACAGTGCTTGGCACATTATAGGTGCTTATACATTTTTATCGAGGAATAATCTGCTTCCTCTCATTTTAGAATTACTATATGGACCAGACAAAATAATGGATGTAAAAGGGTTTGTAACTGTTGATGGTAATGACTATAATGTATTATTTTGGTTGTTTACCATCCAAGTCCCCTGAAGTACTATCTTCTGCACAATGCCTTCTAATATGGCAGTGGAAAAGGATTTTCAAAAGAGAATCCCCCTTAGTAACTGTTATCCATTTACCATAGTCAAGATGGTGCATACTCGATGACATAACTGAAAAATTCAGTCAATCCAGTGGGAAAGAAAAAAAAAATCAATATACTGACAGTTTTTACCCGAAACCATCAGCAAACTAACTGACCTTTTCACTTTTTAAATAACTGTGTTGATGTTCTGAAGTCATTATCATGAGTTTTAATCTGGCCTTGGCTTAAATGACAGGTAGAGCCTTGTTAAGAAAGCATTTTTATTAACAAAAAATATATAAAATACATAGAAATGATATAAAATAAAATATAAAAATAACAAAAATAATAACATAATAAAAAAATTAGCCAGGTGTGGTAGCATGCAGCTACAGTCCCAGGCTGAGATGGGAGAATCACTTGAGCCAGGGAGATAGAGACTACAGTGAGCTACAATCTCGCCACCTCACCCACGCCAGCCTGGATGACAGAGTGAGATGCTGTCTCAAAAAATAAAATAAAATAAAATAAAACAAAATAAAATAAAATGTATAATACAGCTGTACAAAACCACACACATATCCTTTATATATATATTCTCACCAGCTTGATTTGCTTTTGGTGTAGTGGAATTGGGAAGACAATCAAAGATTACTGGGTGCCATGGTGTTCCTAGGTTTTCTGACTGACAAATCAATTTAAATGCCAGTCCCTAAGGAAAAACCCAAATGCTTTTGTTTTGGCGTCCAAATCTTAAAAACATTAAGGTTAGTTATACTTAGCCAACTGTTCTAAAAATCACATTTTGCCATTTCCCAAGAAAATTCAAGCATTTATCACTTTTTGGTTGGTTCTTACCATTTTTTGGTTGGTTCTCGCATATGTGTGGTGACTCTGCTTTGGATAAAAAACTTCATGATTATTCCAAACTCTGTTAAACAGTGAATGCTAGGTACATGGATCATGGGGACAGATGGTTTTGTTTGTTTTGCTTTTAACTTATTTCTTTATAGGTTCTGTTGAAGATTTTCCACTTGGCAGAATGAATTTCCTTGTACAAATCTTGTGCAGGGGTTTTAGTATCATGACAAACTCCTCTGAATTATTAACCACATTATGAATCACCCAATCAAAGAACCTGTAACTAGATATTGTTTTTGTCTCACTCATGACCCCTTTTAGTTGATAAGTTCAAGGGTAACAGCTGCAGTTTTCCACCTATTCTAAAGCTTTGTGCAAAGGGAATGATTGCCATCAAAGTTATATGCCCATATTTTTTTAGAGGTTCATGGTAATAACCACAGAGGGGCAAATCCAAGAATCTCTTCCAAGTTTCTGGACTTTTGGAGGTTTCTGAATTTTAATACAAAATATCTTTGGATCATTGCCTAATTAAGTATCCTAATATCCTAAGAGTGTTCCCAATTTAAAAAAAAAAAAAAAAAAAAAAAAAAGCTTTAATATTTTGACACATTGTATCAATGTGTCAAAATTTTTTTTTTTTTTTTTTTTTTAGATGGAGTCTCACTCTGTTGCCCAGGCTGGAGTGCAGGGGTCCGATCTCGGCTTACTGCAACCTCTGCCTCCCGGGTTCATGCCATTCTCCTGCCTCAGCCTCCTGAGTAGCTGGGACTACAGACGCCTGCCTAAATTTTTATATTTTTAGTAGAGATGGGGTTTCACTGTGTTAGCCAGGATGGTCTCTATCTCCTGACCTCATCATCCGCGTGCCTCAGCCTCCCAAAGTGCTGGGATTACAGGTGTGAGCCACTGCGCCTGGCCTATAGTTTTTGATTTTAGAGATGATCCTTCTCAGGCAAAATATTCAGAACCTAAAAACTGATTTATAATCTACTCATTAGAGCATAGAATTTATGAGATCTACAGTCTTTCATTTTCTTGCTGTGAAAGGCAGACTTTGTTCTCCTTGATGAATTTACCTACTATATTACTCTTTGCCCAGAAGGAATTCTCAGTATCTGCTTTAACGGAAAGCAGGGCTGATAGGTAGAAATATAAACAACACAGTAAGTGGAAAATGCCTCATCAATATATCCAACTGAAACAAATGTAGGCCAAGCGAGACTACATATAGACACTTATCGCTGTTTTATGTAGTCTTAACAACCTTGTTCATTCATATTAAACTTTGTTCATATGATTCTCCCCATTTCATTCAGATGCAGACAATCCTAACGATATTAAACATTTTAATGTAAATAATTAAATATAGGATGTCAAAGATATACTTACCTCCTGTTTAGTTACTTTGGATCCATCTTTGCCCTCTGTATTCTCTGGAGACTAGAAAGAAAACATTTCAGTGAATTGTATTTAAATTGGAAAACACATATCATAAAAATGTTTTTAAAAAGTTACCTCATTCCCAGGACAAGATAAGCCAACAGATTTTTTTACAGAGAAAAACTAAGTTACAATAGGGTATGTCTTGTACACACCTACGTGCATGCATGCATGCACACACACAGTAGATAGCTGCGTAACTGCTGCTCGACTTTTAAAGCAGAAATGGTGAAAGAATGATGCGATTCCCTGTTCTCAATGTGCATTCACCCTAAGCGACTTTCATTTATCTTTGACGATTCCAGTTAAAGAACAGGGGCCAGAGGTCAGTGGCAGGAATGCCTGGGAGCCACCCTCTTGTTCCACTTGCTTGTTCCAGTCACTCCGTTCCTTTAAGATAAGGGCAGGATGCTGGTAAAGCCCAAGCCAACCACAAAAGCACATTTTCATCCCATCTTTGCCTAGCCTTGATTTCTAGCCCATTTCTTGATATGAACTGACAAATTTATCATAGATTACTATTTTTCCATTATCAACTCCAGTATCTCTACTAAACTCCCAGCCTCGGCATGACAGCCAGGCTACGTGCCACCCACAGCTGATTTATTTCCAGGTTTTGATCCATCCCCTGGGGCGGCACCTGTCTCCTCTTGTGACAGCTCAAATCTGACTCCTTTACAGGATGTGTATACTATGGGAAAAAAACATACCTTATAGTTTCTTTATTTTTAAAGTAAAATATACTTTGGATTTATTGGACACTCCACATGTCCCAGTATTTTTTATTGGCTAAGAGTTATTAAATAATATTAAAACAAACTAATTAGAAAACTAGACTAACATTTTAAAACTACATGAAGTTGGAAAGTGAATACTCAGTCTCTATGGCACAAATAGGCTGCTGATCTGAATAGAGCACCCGTTAGAAAAAAATACAAATAGCAAACTGACATTTGACACGATGTTTGGCTCAGCAAAATAAAACGGCTACGTGGTAATGCCTCATCTGATAAAATGAGAACAAAATTCAAGAGATCATAAAACCTACTGTTTGAGGCTAGTGACACTGTAAATTAATATAATCATTTCAAAGAACAATTTGGCAATATGAAAAAGACAGAGAGGACTAATATGATGACCTAGTAATTTCAATTTTGGAATCTGGACTCAAAAAAAGAAACTCTTCGTAAAAATATGGCTTTATTTGTACTATTTCTAATATGGAATAAGTGGAAGCAATTCATGTATCAGTAAATAATAGAGAAATGATTAAGTAAACTATTATTCGCATATTCATGTAACAGTGAATGGCATTAAAAAGTTAGGCAATGTGAATACATGAAAAGTCCACATAAAATAATGCTGAATTAAAAAACTTAGGTCATAAAAAAAGTATGCAAAACAATGGTCCTAAGTATACATAAAAGTCTTTAGGAAAGACAAAAGCTTTTCTTCAAGGCAAAGGACCCAGAGACCTTTCTCTATTCCTGAGAGCTGCCTGTTACCCATAGCCTATCATATGCCCTCTTTCCAGAACCTCACATGTCATGGATTTCTCTCTTGTTTCCAAATAAACCATCTCCCCTCCTCCATGGAACCTTCTCCACTATGAAGAAACAGTTTTCTCTTTTTTGTTCCCCACTCTCTTGCACAGGAATATTTCATTCATTGATCTTGTGTTAATCAGTCAGTTGTGGCAAAATCTTAGTCTGAGCATACGAAGATAATTCCTAGGTGGGCCACTGGTCTTTGCTCACTTCCATGGCTACAAACTCAACCCTTCTGGCTACGACAGATCCTTGGTTGTCTAGGAGTGCTGGGCTTTCATTCAGACCCGTCAGGTCACTCAGTAGATTTCAGTCTAGGGTACTCTTTACCTGTAATTGATAGGCAGTTAACACAGCACTACATAGCTATTATAAGAAAAACTGATGTTAATGACATTATTTTCATATTTTTCTATGCAGTGGATTAGTGACAGGCAATATGATGGAGTTCAATCTCTAAACACTGACCTAATAATGTTTGTATGGGATGCAAATTATTCAAAATAGAGAAACTTGGAAAGGCACTGTATAAAAAAAGCAGGTACACTAAAAATGTGAATGCCTTCAGATGAATGAACATAAGGCTCTGGATGTGAAGAGTTAGCCAAGCTGATTTCTCTGGCAATCTCCCACAACAGCTTTCTATTAACAAGCATTTAATACATCTGCAGTCAGGAACAATCCATCTTTACCGGGGATCAGTGTGATACAATGGTATGAATGCAGGATGTGAGCTCAAGACACCTGGCTGGAATCTTGGCTCTCTACCTAGAAGCTGTATGATCTGGGACAGTGACTTGATCACAGTGGCTCAGTCTCCTTCATCCATGATAGATGATAATGACAGCTAACTTAAAGGGTACTGCTTATGATCAAGTGAGATACTGGAGAAAGCATTTCATAAACTGTAAATTGTTATACAGAGGTTATGCGATAAAAAAGATCTTTAGTCTTCTGAATTATACAGTATGAAACTATATTCAACAGAGCCTTAAAGTTGAGCACATTTCCTTACATCCAGATTCCCTGCACACTGGTTATCTGTTTTTGCTGCACAGAGTAACAGGTAGACTATTTTGGAAAGACCTACCATTATAAGCTGTCTTATCACATAACCCTCTCCATCAATTAACACTAAGCCACAGGCCGGAGACAGGAAGGAAGAAAGCGTGGTTTTAAGGGATTAAAACAGAAACCCAAAGCTTTTTGTGCCAAGGGATTGCGAGGAATAAAAACAAAGAAAAGGGGGAAACAAAAGGTTAGGGGTGGATATAGGGGATCTCAGATGTACTTCAACCTTCTGGCAGGTGGATGTGAAAGATGAGGAGAGTTAGATGGGATGCAGGGACTGCCAAGGCAAAGGGAGCTCTTGCTCCATTCTCCAAGACACAACAGGCTTACACTAATCCAGTTTGAACCAAGAATGGTCAAGAGGGCCCAAATCATGGTCAACTAAAAAGGTCTCATGCACATATCCATCTCTGCAAGAGATGTTTTAACTTTTTGTTGTTAGTTTCTCGTGCCTTTTAAGGAAGCTGCTTATGTGAGGATACTCCTGTATGTTCTCTTACCCTGTACCAGCCCTAAGCTTTGTTTCTTATCCCCTCTGGCACACCCCAAGAAGGAAAACAATGGGGAGTGGGGAGGGAAGGAATGCTTGCTCAATCAGATTTTCAGACTTAAAAATAATAAACAATATAGTTAACTAACACTTACAAAACCATATGATACTTAAAAGAGACACCAAAAACTCAAGGATATAGAAAGCATGAAAATAAAAGGATGTTGAAAAAATATATACTTAGCTAAAATTAAAAAGTCGAAACAACCTAAATATATGTCATCAGGAGGATATATACACTGTGGTATATAATAAAATAATATGTAGCAGTGAACACAAATGAACTGTGTGTATGCACATCAACAGAGATGAATTGCACAAACATAATGTTGGGCAAAAAAGGGAAGTCATGGCATGATTTTAAATAAAGTTTGAAAATACAAATACAAGGAAAGTCTATAAAGAAAAGCATAACAAATGATAACTGCAAAATCATGACAGAGGTTACCTTTTGCTGAGGAAAGGGAGGGTAATTTGACTGGGAAAGACAAAGTCATTGGTAAGAGGTATATTCCTTAAGCTAGATGCTGGTTTATTATTATGTAAATCATATTTATCTAGATACTACATATGCATGTTTCATATTAAAATGTTTTTGATTCATACAAAATAGAAATTTTGAAGCAAATAAAAGCAGGTTCATTGAAATAAAAAACTCAAAACATGGATAAACTCTAGACCAGACACAGCAGGAACCGCCATAGACTGCTGAGGAATTAACCCAGAATGCAACAAAGAACAACAAAAGGATGAACAAAAGAGAGGTTAGGTGACATGGTTAATTGAGAAGCTCCACAACCGTCGAATAGGCATTTCAGAAGCAGAGAAAGAGGTTATCAGTAGGAAGGAAAAGACACAATGACTATATTCCCAAAGTAAAGTCTTGACTCTCCGATTTGAACACTCACACCAAGGAACAAAGTGAAAACAAATCAAAACGAACAAGACAATACAGCAGGATATATTGTAATAAAACTACAAAGCATCAAGGAAAATGAGAAAAATCCTTAAAGTTATCAGAGTTAAGACCGATTACCTATAAAGAATTACTTCAACAACAACAAATACAAATGTATGAAAATATAGAGTACTATTCAAGGAGTTGAGGAAAACTGTCAACCTAGAATTCTATACCTAGCTATCATTCAGGAGTGATGGCAAAATAAAGCCATTTCAGAATACAAACATAAGGAGAGTTCACTTCCAACAAAGTCTTTCTTTCAACAAGAATCTATTACTAAAGGATCAAATTTAGTAATAAGAAAAACAAATCTAGAAGGAAGCAAAAGTATATAAGAAAAAAATGTAAAAAATATACTAATAAGTCTAATTAACTACTAATTGTAAAAAACATTACCTATTGTGCTTTTAAGTTTCAATAGAAATTCTACAGCAGTTCTGTCCTACAGAAATACAACATATAATTTTAGATTTTCTAATTGCTACATTAAAAAAAGCATAAAAACAAGTGAAATTAATTTTAATGTTATTTAACTGAATATATCTAAAATTTTATTATTTCACCCATTAATTACATAATGCAAAAAAAAAACACAATTAATGAGACATTTCAGACTTTTTTGTACTAAATCTTTAAAATCTGGTGTTCATTTTATACTTAGAGCACATCTTTATTCAAACGCTAAATTTTTATCAGGAACATCTAATCTGTATTTAGAATTCATAAAATTTACAGTAGTTTCACCCAGGTTGTTCCAAACATTTATAATTTACTAATCGCTGATTCTAATATCAGTTTTTAAACTTAAGTTGATTAAAATTAAATAAAAATTTCAGTTCCTCATTCTTAAGTGTTTAATAAACTCATGCAG